AAAATTATTTTTTTTTTATTTTCATTTTTCTTAATAACTTTAGAATTATATTTATAATACAAAAAGACTTATTATACACACACATATATATGTCACTATAATACTCCAAAATTTTTGGGGTATTATTAGAAGTCTAGAAACTAGAAGGGGCCGCAATGAAACTAACAAGGTGATTGGGGTCAAATTAAAACAAGAAGGGATTAAATTGAATTAATAACAAAACTTTGGGCTGCGAAGAATAATCAGAAAATTTGAGGACAGAATCGATTGAAATCCAATTACCAGGATTGAATTTCAAAATCCTAAAAGTCTGAGCATCCTGTTTCCGTCCAAAAATCCTAAGCATATATTCGATCAAATTGCAGGGAACTTGGGATCCAAGCTCCAAATCAAATATATATATTCGCGATTTAGAGGCAAAAGAATTAAAACCCTATAGCAATTTTTCTATCCATACATCTTTTCTATTTGCGATTTAGGATTTGTTTATTTGAAAGGAACTTCAAATTTCACATCTCAGAATCAATTGATTTTGAATTGATTTAGATGATCGTTGTTGAGGCGAAAGGGACAAACGAACTTGTAGGTGTTGATTTCAGTTTGTAACAAGAAGAAAATCATGTCGAGTTTGTGTCCAGGTACGTTTCTTTGATTTTGACTAGAGACAATCGGGTTAGAATGAAGAGACCCAAGCAATCGCTCGGGTCAACCCAAGCTTGGAGGTTCGTTTTACAATTGGATATCAAGAAAAAAAAAAATGGTTTGGGCTACGGGGGGTTGGGCCAGTTTGGAAGTTAGGCTGTATTTTAAAATTGGGCTAGGCCATACAGGAGCCCAGCCCATGTCAGTTAAGCTAGGCTGGACGTGACTTCTGGGCTAGGTTAAAATTTTTGGCTTGGGCTTCGGATCAGGGGCCATATAATACATATATGAAAAAAAGGACAGAAAACAAAAAACCAATTGGTTCAGAGACTTTGGAATCGATTCACTTCCGGTTCAGGGCTAAATAAATTAAATAAATAATTAAATCAACTGGTTTTATGCTGGTTTAGGGAAAATGCAAATATATTATCCCCAGTTCATGGAATTTTAGGGCGGTTTATGTGTAAATCGAGTCGGTTTAGCATATAAAGGGACAGTTTAGTGCATAATATGTCCATTTCAGTGTAAATATGACCGGTTCAGTGTGATATATAGCGGGTCAATGTAGTTTATGGCCAGTTCAACGTATTATGTGGCCAGTTCAATGTATTAAATATCGGTTTGGAGTCAATTTACCACATTAGAGGCCGATTTAAGGCCAATTCGGAATACTAGAGGCTAAATAATGGTTGGTTCAACATTCTAATAACCAGTTCAAGGTTGGTTTAACACTTTAATGATTAGTTTATATGTAAAATAAACAAGTTTTATATTTTATGAAATTGGTTTAAAGTTTTATCACTTAACTCATAACTTATTGGATCAGTTCGAGGCTTTAATAGCTTAATATAGGGTTTGGACACGAAAATCTAGGGATTTACTTAGGTTTTAATTAAGAAAGATTTGGTTATTTAATTATTATATGTGTTAGCAAACTAAAATGCAATATTTAATTATTTAGATTATCTATACAATTTCGGTCGAACCCATATATCATAAAAGATTTGACTAATTGGTTTCTATCAGTTTTGTGAGTAATAATGTGTATTTATGAGCATTTACTGTTTTCCATAATTGTTATAAACTCTGATTTTAAATGATGTATCTGTTTTCTGAAAATTCGACTAAATTTTGCTATACAAGTGAAACAAGGGACATGTATGAAATTTTTGAAATTGTTTGAAAAAAAATATTTGTTAAATATGTTTGACTTTGTACATGGAAAAATTTATTAAACATTTATATTTAATTTTGGAAAAGTCTATTAAATGGTTTCCGTTTATTTCTGAAAATTGTTTTAAAGGAGTTTTGAATTTTAGAATACTGCATCTAGCAGTAGTAGGCATTAGATTGAGTGCACTCTGTACTCGATCCTCATCTAATAGGAGGAGGTGTTAAACTCTCATGTTAGGCTGACATAGGAGATTTGTATATGTATATGTGTATATGGGCACATGGGAATGCCATATTCTGATTTTTGTTATCCGGCAGACTAAGTGTCACCGTCCTGATTATCGGTAGATTGGTATATTGTCATTCTGCTTTCTGATATATGTTCCGTTTTGGATTTCGAACTCTCTAAAGTTTATATTATCTGTAAATAATTTGTTATACCGTAAAATTTCTAATAATTGTAAATGATTTTGTTATACTGTAAAGTTTCTGATATCTGTAAATGATTTGATATATTGTAAAGTTTTTGATGATTGTAAATGATTTTGTTGTACTATAAAGTTTATAATATTTATAAATGACTTGTTATATTGTAAAGTTTTCTAATTCACATGTTATACTTATCCCTTATTCTCATAAATGCATGTTATTATTCACTGAGTCTGTCAACTCATTTCTTTATTTTTTATAGATTCAGAATTTGGTGCTAGGTTGGATTTTGCTGCTTAAGAGTAGTCTTTTGTTTATGCTATTTTTGCTCTTAGTTAACAAAATTAGTTATTTCAATTTTGTTAGACTTGTATTTCTAAATTTTAAAGATAGTTCAATTTGACTACAGACAGGTTTATGTGAATATATTGACAGTTTAGTTGAGATTTTGTTTTTGATTTTATGTAAGATTTTGGTTTCAATTATATATTGAGTTATATATTAGGTTTATAGGATTAGAATTTGTTCTAATTCTAACGCAAGTCATGGATCCACTTTTTTTGAGTCGTGACAATTATTTTTTTTAAAAATAAACATTTTAAACTTTTTAATATAATAAATAATTATTATAATTATTTCACTAAAATCTATTTATTAGCTTCTGTTTTTTATCAACAAGATTTTAAAAACATACTTAATTTTTATGCTTTCAATACTTTTTTAATTATTATCATTTTTTAATACTTTTTTAAAAAGTAATACTGCTCCTTGTGTAAATTATTATATGGAGGAAGTATAGCTTATATTTGTCTAATAATAATATGCCCCCATGACGCATTATATCCTTAAATTAGCAATGGAAAACTAATAAAAATAGCTACCTATCGGAGCTCTAATGAGTCCATTGATGTTTTGATTTCGAAAAGGAAAGAAAATTGGATTTAAATTATGAGCTAGGATTTTGAAACATTTGTGCCCAATTGGAAAAATTAATAAATTATTATTATTATTAGAATTAACTTTACTAATTCTCCTTAAATTATTAGAAAAAATCTTTTAAGCCCCTAAACTACTAAAATATCAGTTACTCCTCTTACTCAAACAGTTCGTTAATGATAAACATTTAAAAGTTGTTAATGTCAACAATTATGAGCCATAACTAACAGAAATTACATCGTAATAATTTCTAGACAAAAATGTCCCCTTGCTTCTTGAAAATAGTTGTAAACTTAATTTTTACAAATTTCTCATTTAACTACTCTTATTTGACTCTTCTCTTTTAATTCTTTTTATATTTCAATACTTTTTCAATTTTTTGGATATTTTTTATTCTAAAATTTTTTATTTAATATTATATTAACAAAATTGAGAAAAATGAGAAAAATATCAAGTAGTTCTTATTCGACAAATTTGTAATATGCTTGCAATTTTTTCAACAATCAGGATATTGCATTAGTACTTTTTTTCGATTGTGTTGCAATTTTAATAAACTTGCACTAGTACAAAAATTTTATATAAAATTAAATCCGATTTAGAAATTTGCCATAGGTAGCAATTAGACTGTAAGTAATTTCTTATTTTTGAGTTTTTTTTAGGATAAAAAATACTCCACTTTCTCCAAATTTGTTTAAATGACACTTAACTCTATTCTCGTTATAAAAAAATATTTTTTCAATTTGATTAATTATTGACTAACAGTTATTTTATATTTCTATAAAAAAAATATAAGGGTAACCAATTTTGACATATTTGGTTATCCATACGAGTAAAAATTAAAATATTATTTGATTCACTAAAAATTATTTTATTAATTTTACAGTTGTAATATCCTATCTTATATCGATTTCTAAGAATTATATGATATGATATATAAGATACTACAGACTATTATTGAACAATTTAGGTTTAAGTATTTTGGGGCAGTGGTTCAGACTTAACAAGTTGTTAGAGTTAATAGTTTTCATATCATTACAGAAATATTGTCACGGATCCAACATTTAGGTCATTTCAAATAATATCAGAATAAAATAATTTTTAAATCTGTTTTGTTTGAATACAAATATAAATTTCTTATTTGACAAAGACATCAAGTGTTTAAGTGGGAAAAATTGTGACATTTATCTCACATCAAATTTTGATAGTAATATAATATAGTATATAAGAGACTAGAGACTATTATTAAACAATTTAAACATAAACATTTTGAGCTAGTGGTTTAGATTGAACAAGTTACTAGAGTTAGTAATTCTCAGGTCATTACAAAAATACTGTCACAGATCTAACACCTGCGTCGTTAAGGTGTTTATAGTTTGAAGATTGTGAAATTTAATAAGAATTATAACATACATCTTAGCTTATGTGTATACCAAAATTTACAGGCTTAACAATCGTCCAGGTTAATTTTCAAACTTTTAATCGTTAAATTCATCAATAAGTTAACGGCCGAATATTTTAAGATTTAATTTTCAATTATTGAAATAAGAAATTATTTTTCATTTACACTATTCATATTAAATCGTACCAAATAAAATGCCCAAATTTGAATTTGCACACCCCTTTAGTATTAACGAAAAGTTAAAGAAGAAAAATAGAAAAGAAAATATACCAACGAACTTGGTGGCAATGCCAACTACTGGGCGATGTCTACACTGCGGAGCGCTCAAAGCCTCCAACCACCTCCACCTCGTCTTCTCCGCCATTTGCGTATCTCATTCACGCTTACTTTCTCTCTCTGAAGTCGATTCATATACGTACAGACAGCTGAACAAACTCAGCAAATCCAATCTCACACATCTTTGTATCTTGCTTTCTCTACAATGTCTTCTCTCCTTCAATCTAGGGTTCCGGCAATGTCGTTCTCCTCCTCCATCTCCTCATGCCGCCTCCAATGGCGACCTTCCACTGCATTCCCCGCCAGGCCCAGGCGGAGAGCGCCGATCGTCCAGGCTAAGATCAGGGAGATCTTCATGCCGGCCCTTAGCTCCACCATGACTGAGGGAAAGATCGTCTCCTGGGTCAAATCCGAGGGTGACGTCCTCTCCAAAGGCGAGTCGGTCGTTGTCGTTGAGTCCGACAAGGCTGACATGGACGTTGAGACGTTCTACGACGGAATCCTAGCTGCCATCGTCGTCGGCGAGGGCGAGACCGCTCTAGTAGGCGCCCCGATCGGGTTGTTGGCCGAGACTGAAGAGGAAATCGCCGAGGCCAAAGCCAAAGCCGCTAGTTCGTCCTCCCATTCAGCTGCTTCTGCCGCTCCTCCTCTTCCTCCTCCTCCACCTCCAGCTGCCGCTCCACCGCCACCAGTGTCTGCTAAGGCGGCAGCTCCAGCGCCGGTTGATGGGCCGAGAAAGATTGTGGCCACGCCGTTTGCGAAGAAGCTAGCGAAGCAGCACAAAATTGATATCAATTCGGTGGTTGGGAGTGGGCCATTTGGGCGTATCACCCCCGCGGATGTCGAAGCCGCCGCAGGAATTGCGCCGTCTAAGACTACTACAGTTGCCTCAGTGGCTTCGGCTGCTCCAGCCGCTGCTCCTTCGAAAGCTGCGCCTGCGGCAACTACGTTTCCTGAAATTCCAGGGTCTACGGTGGTTCCATTCACCACGATGCAAGCGGCGGTGTCGAAGAACATGGTGGAGAGTCTCACTGTGCCAACTTTCAGGGTGGGGTATCCTGTATCTACGGACGCACTAGACGCTTTATATGAGAAGGTACAAATACTTGATGCGTTGGGTGGTTCAATTCTTGTATAAACAATTCCATTAGTGTTAAATATTTGGTTATGGAGATGGGTTGCTTTGAAATTTTAGGTAAAGCAAAAGGGTGTGACTATGACGGCGTTGTTGGCAAAGGCCGTGGCAATGGCTCTTGTGCAGCATCCTGTTGTGAATTCAACCTGCAAAGATGGGAAGAGTTTCACGTATAATAGCACTATTAATATTGCAGTGGCCGTGGCAATTAATGGTGGGTTGATAACCCCTGTTCTTCAGGATGCTGATAAGGTCAGTGATCTGCTTGAAACGATGGTTTAATCTAAAAAACTTATCCAAGCTTACTCTTTAGGCTGCTAAGTGATCGATTAATCATCGGTTTTTTGTACCCTCTACTCTGGATTCGTATTAATTTGTGATCTACTTCTACTGATGCAGTTGGATCTGTATCTGTTATCCCAAAAATGGAAAGAATTAGTGGAAAAAGCCCGGGCAAAGCAACTTCAGCCCCTTGAGTACAGTTCAGGTAGTCAATGATTTGCTTTTGTTACTGCATTTACACTTGTTTGTCAGGTAATGTAATTCATCCATATCCTGTTGGATACAGGTACTTTCACACTTTCCAATTTGGGCATGTTTGGAGTGGACAGGTTTGATGCCATTCTTCCTCCGGGCCAGGTTAGTAGCCGGGTCTAAGTTTTTCTTGTTCATGTACTCACGGGGTTATGTGTTATTAAATTGGTAATTGGTCTATTCAATTCAACTACTTTCAGGGGGCTATTATGGCTGTTGGAGCATCAAAGCCCACCGTTGTTGCTGATGCAGATGGATTTTTCAGTGTAAAAAGTAAAATGCTGGTAAGTTTACTTGTTGGTTCTTTTTAATGCTGGTTAGTTTTATGTTCTTTTCCATAGTTTAAAAGATTGCCGGCATGTAAATATGCATTGGTGGATGTTGATGGTAACTTTAACACATTCTTGTCATGCACTAGTTAAGCATATATTTTACTTTCTAAACTGGGATGGCTTTAGAATTGCTGAATTTGGAGGAAAACTTCAACAAGTGGTTTAATGGCAGAATTCATATGTTATCCACACATAATGCATGGTTCAACTAGCTGTGTTGCCTGTGAATTTTGTGAACATGCAATAGAAAATTTGCTACGAAAATTCAGTCTTTTCTTGCAAGCTGTAAATGCATTAGGAGTATATTTGAAGATAAGTAAACATTAGCCTAAAAGTTATTTCTGTTACGTTCCATTCACTTGAAAAGCAAATTTCTCTCTACTCTAAAACGTTAAAGTTAAGCTTATTTTTCTTCAAGCCTCACTAAAACTCAAGGACTATGTCCAATGTGTTGGTCATGTGTCTTATACATCAACCTTTTCACATCACATGGGTCTTTTGTCTTATACCCCGATTCTTGTCATATCTAGTGAAAATGGAGGCATATGGGAAATTGAAGAGTCAAAAAAACACTGGCTCCCTGTAAAAAACTAGTTTTAGCTTAATTTCTTGATGGTCAATCAAATATTTAATGGGGTGGGTTTTATTCATTGTATCTCCTTCAATTCTTTATGCAACTTGTATACCTATTAAATCTCCTAATCTTTCACTAGTACACACATCTTCAAACACCTTTCCTTGCGCCTTGGCTTGTTCCAGAGCTTTACTAACCATCTGTTCTTAATAACCACAAACTCAGTTCTCTTGCAGATGTTTCCACCTTTTTAGGCTTCGTCCTCCACTCTGACAGGTCTGTCATTTATATAGCAATCTAACTGAAATGAGTCAATTATTACAGGTATTTGATACCTCAGCTTCGAATCAAGTCTAAATAGTAAACTCGGGGGGATTTATTATTTCAAACGTATTGGTTTTAACCTGCTTACCAGGCTGATTATGCTCATTTAACTCACGGTGCCATAGCAGTAGATTCAATATACTAGTAGTAATATATTCTCTCAACTCAACTCAACTGAACCTAACTGGGCCTTATCCCAGCTGCAAGAAGTTGGCTGCGTGGATCCAGTGGCTCCATTTTTCTAACAATATCATTTAAATCACACTTGACCGTATCTTCCTTTATTAAGAAACAACATGTTAGCAAAATGAGTAGAGTCTCCATGAACAAATAAATTTGGTGATGTCACCATAGTCAATACATTCTCTTATGATATTGTCTAATACACAATACTTTAAATTTTTTAGGCATGTCCACATAAACCCATATTGAACTTTTGGACACATATCACTATGACCTAAATTAACAATTTAGGGAGGTCTAATGCTGGGATCCGCATGTATCCTGAAACTATACTGAGTGGTGAGGAAAATAAATCAAATCTTCCTTCAATTTTATATCTCCATCACCATACTGACTCTGAAGATATGTAAGGGAGAGGAGGGGTGAGCTAAAAAGCTTACTGAGGTAAGCATTGTAGCAAAAGTAAATATAACAAGGCAAAATAGAATTTGATAAAGTAGCAGAAATTGGGAAGAATAATCTCGATGTATATGTCAATTATGCAACATGTCTAAATTTCTAAACCATGTGAGAGTATCATGTAACACTAGCCCAACTCAAGGTTCTACCATAACAAATGATATCCTCTCATTGGCCCAATGCCTAACCTAGTGGAGGTTATGCTGCATCTAAACCAATGCATAACCCGAGGGTAGCTGGATGCTGAGCCTTGACACTGACACCTCTCACCCTAGTCTCTTGGTGATAGGTTATGGGTGGGTACTTTGACATTACCAGATAGTTCCATGCATGCAGCAAGTTTGTCAAAATAATTTCTCCATCACATTTTTGCCAAGTATAGGTTTCTCTCTTCCAACTTCATGCAAGCTGTGAAACTGAAGCAATAGCGTCCATATACTATGCTTCCATCCAACTTGTTGCCCTTGAAGCAGCATAATCCCCTTGTGACTTATTAAAGTAAGAAACATGTATGAGAACTCTTAACAAAAATGTTTAAGCAATTAAACACATCTATCCAATAATTTCTTCCTCAATTTCAGAAACTATGCAAATCATGCCTCTTCAGAACATATAAGATGGTGAATAACTTGGTATTATTGCAAATTGGCCTCTCTAAAAATTTCAAAAATTTATTCTTGATCCTTGATGTGTTCCAATTTTCTATTTTTTGGACATGTGTCTTTGTAGTGTTTTTAGTATGTCTAGTGGGACCCAAATTAAATAAAAGGGGAATTCATGTCTGTTTGACATGCGTACATATATGTTTGATGACTCAATGTCCGACACAGTGTCTAAAACAGACACTTCAACCTTCTAGAAGTGTTTGTGCTTCACAGAAAACAACTTAGTATGTTAGCCTGGAACTTTTGGCCTTTGCGAGCATAGTTATCGGAACTGAACTAGACGTTAAACCAGTTAAGGAACTGGTTCAGTAGTTCACTAGTTCAACTGTGGTTCAACCAGATTTATAAATAACAGTTAATTTTATGATTTTTCCATATATAATATTACCAAAAAAAAAAAGAAAAAGTACACTTCGGTGATGTTGATACGATGTTAAGTATTAAATTCACTAAGTCAGAAAACTTAGTCTAGTTGAAGTTGCTAGAGTATATTTTTTGACCAATAGTTCTTGTGTTCAAGTCTCTTCCATACTTACTAATTTCTGATGAATTTTATTGGGGTAGTTCAACTGCCATTTCGATTTATTGGTTATATGAAAAAATAAATTGCCTTGTTCATGTAGTTCAATCTGGTTCAGCCTGGTCCATGTGCATTTCCTGTAAATTAATTGTACAAAACCGGACCACTGGTTGTTTCATGGTTGTACCAGCTGATCCAGTTTGGTTCTGATAACTATGCTTGTTTGTATTTGAAGTTTGTTGGAGCTCCCTAACAAGAGCATTTTCAATTGCTTAGTATATGCAGAGGAATAGCTAGTGTAGCTTTCTGTTTTGGGCAATTCAAGCAGGAGCTTTACTAAAGTGGAATTGCTTAGTATACGCAAGTGGAATAGCTAGTGTGTGCACGTAAGTAGATATTACTAGGGAACTGTTATTGAACAGGTTAGTGAGAAGAAAGCGACATTAGGAAAGAAATGTTTCTGCCTTACTTTTTATGAAATCCTGATTCCTTGAAGCAAATGAAAAGGAAAATAAAATGAGAATTTTGTTTTTGAAATTTCTTGATAAGTTAAAGGTAGAAAAATTTAATTTCCTTTAAATTTCATCTGTTTTTATGTATTCCTTTTACCAATGCACTAAAAAAATAGAAAATTTTAGATTCCCCTTTTTTCACTCTGTCCAGTTCTGTTTTCCTTTTCTTTTCAAAATTTGGACTTCAAACATAGCATGAGTTTTATTAGGTTTGCCAATTGCCACCTGGCCCACTGGGGCCCATTCTAATTATATCATATAAAACACTCATTCTGCAATGCATTTAGTAGTTTGATTGTTTCTGCTACCAGTCAATAAATTCCTATGTCCTGTTCCCTTGTGTGCACGGAAACACTTGCTTGTGCTGTTGCAACTAGAGTTGTGGCATTGCTAATGAGATTGAAATTAAGTGTTGATTGTGATATCCCATCCTACATTGATTTCTAAAAATGATAGTATATAAGAGACTAAAAACTACTACTAAATAATTTGGACTTAAGCATGTTGGGCTTGTAGTTTAGACTTAACAAGTTATTAGGTTTAGAAGCCTTAGGTCATTACAAATATTATTAGAGCAAAACGAATATGGATTTGTGATTTGACATGGATGTGAAGTGTTTAGGTGGGTGCTATTATGATATCTTGTTTTATGTTGATTTTTGAAAGTGATGTGATATAGTATATAAGAGATTATTGAATAATTTACGTTTAAGCATGTTGGACTAGTAGTTTAGGCTCAATAAGTGGCTAGATCTAATAGCTTTCGGGTCGTTACATTGATTTTGTTTTTTGTTTTTCTTTTAATTTTTTGGGGGTGGGGGCTTGATTATGCTGAGTTGGCATGCATGAGAATGGAATATTTCTACTTGAGCTGTTGAGTCATTAGCATTTATATTTCTGTCAATTATGAACTATTCTACTGAATAGTAAGATAAACATTTTCATATTTGAAGATATGACACAGTCAATACAAGAGAATTTTAGAAAATTGTGGTTCGAATGTTGGTTGCAGATATGGTTGTTTCTGCAACATTCTTACATTGATTCTTCCTTGTCCAACATATTGAATATTCAGTTTAGTTTACCTTGTAACTATCTTTCTGGCTGCCCTGGTTCAAAGATGAAAAAGAAGTCATCTTTCCTGCTAGTGTCTTTTCTGATTCCTGACATTCCATACTACTTTTCCGCATTTGCTGCTATATTGAAACAAAATAAATCTTCTTAACTGGGAGATTATATATTAACTAATCAAATATGATGAGGATTCCCTAAACCCTGGAATGAATTAACGTGCCAATCTTTTTTCAGGTGAACGTTACAGCTGACCATCGTATCATCTATGGAGCTGACTTGGCTGCCTTCCTTCAGACCTTCTCAAAGATTGTTGAGAACCCTGAGAGCCTTACAATGTAGATGACAATTCGGTTTGCATTGAAGAGATCGTCAACTGAATAGTATGCGGCAATGGACCTCTATAGTAATAGCATTATTGCTTTTAGGACAAAGCGCCTTAGTAGTACCCTCCAGGAGATCTGTAACGGGCCAATAGAAACTTGCTGAAGTTTTGTGTTGGTTTGGTCTGCGAATCGTCTCTTTTCATGGACTGGACATTCTCTTTGATTTTCTTATCTATATTCTTTTCTGAAATTTTCACTATTAAGCTTGATCCACGAACTTGTTCAAGTCTTAGCAAATACTTTGAATTTTCACCAAGTGAATTTAAGTCTTTACTGGAATCCCTCTACTTGAACGTTGATCCTTGTGGTTATTGTGGCAACAAGAACCTGCAGCATTGGAAGGATACGGGCAAAAATTTATATTAATATTAATTTTTTTATTTATTGAATAGGTTTAAAGAGGATTATTCCCTGAAACAGGTAAAACATTAAGCTAGTTGTAAAATCAGTTTTTAAGAAACTGATTGATTATGGAAAAAAAATTGATTCGCAATTCCTTTAAAAAATTTCTTTTAAGAAATTAGTTTTTTATGAATTGATTTTTTTTTTCAAAAATTAATTTTTCAGAAAGTAATATTTTTATTATTAAAATATTTCATCTATTTTAGTAAATAATTTTTTAAAAATTTGCTTGAGGGCTCGCCATCCGCAGCCCGTGCTGAATTTGCGGGTTGTCCAAATTAGGTGACTACCATGCACGTGCAATTCAACGTGGACATTTAGTTGAATTACCTGGAAAATTTCCGTAAGCTGGGAAATTTCTGTACTGATTCAATGGATGATTAATGACTGAACGATGTTGCTCATAATATACCAGAAAAATCCTTCATATAATAAATGGCCGTCTGGCCGATTGTATGAAAGTTGGGGCTCTCAGAAAAGCCTCAAAATCGTAAACTTTTTACGTTGGGGGGTTTTCAGTTGTAATAACCCAATACCCAAGACCACAAAACCTGGCATATTTTCCAGGCAATAACGTGTAAGAAAATGGAACCTTGTTCATAACAAAAGAGGATCTCCAAAAAAGCCCGCGAACCATACAATCTTTACGTTTCTTCTTTTAATGTAATGTTCCATGTACAATCTAATGTAAAGAATGAAGCGGGCTGTGATGTCGTTTCCTTTCTTTATTAGGAAGGAGAAATTTACTGTTAATGGTATTAGGTATACTGCTCCAGATATATATGCTTAGATTACACAATAAGTACCTAATGCAAGTATTTGAATACCTAATTTCACCAACTATAAATGAAGTGAGTCAAGTTGGAAGTGTCAAAGGCTCCGAAGAATGAATGAATGATGCTTCCCATCAGCAATTCAGAATGTCTTGTGCTGCACTTCACCAGCACCAACAACACCAGATGATCTTGCGGTGCAAGAGGTCTCGGTCACCTCCCTCCAATCCAAATTTCCCCAGAACAGATGGCAATTACCAATCCAAGCTGATATTCCTCGAAACATACAGCTTATCTATGTATTCTATAACTGGAAGAGAAGCTTCAATATATCTTCTCATTTCCCTTTCTGCCGATTCCTCTATAGCAAATATTGGCAACATCAGTTAGAATCTGAAAGGGTTACCACTGGTATAATAAAATGAAATCATGAAACCTAAATTTATAAACATCAATTAGATACTCTCAAGAAAACGAAGTTGGTTGTGGATTCAAAAATTAATGAATTTTAGACACAACATAAAGTTTCATGGGATCAGGCCACCCACTTATGAGGGTTGGGAGTGGTTCAGCAATAATATGCAGCTTTACACTTTGCAGAGAGGTTATTTCTGTCATTTGGACATGTGAAATGGGAACGAGGTAGAGTGAGGATTGGCTTTTGGGAAACAAGGTAGGGATTGCCACAGTTCTTTTTGGTCTAAATATTTATATGCATATTATGTTCTTAATGCAAATTTAAACAATATCAAATCAAATACACTCAGGCATTCAGTTCTAATTCAGGTATTGATTTTATCAACATAAAATAAGATATACAACAAAATAAATCATTAATCTAAGGGAAACAAAATAACAATACAAAACAAATGAAGCTAACTAAATTAAACCAGATGTTCCTGTGAACTATAAGATTGGTCCATAAATATTTTGAATATGGTAGTGTGTACATGAATTCTTTTGAAGTGGAGATATATATAATTAAACAAAATATAGAATTTGGGGTTGGGTCGGGCCACCTGGTTTCAGGCCAGTCTCGGGCGCAAGTCCCATCCCCATTTATTACATTATAGAGATATCTCAGTCCATCATTTCTCAATAATGAAACAACCAAAAATCGGAAGACCTTAATTGTGCATTTCAGTTTATAGAGTTTGTTTCCTTCCCAATATTGTTGGCAGTACAACTTTGCACACATTAAACACTAAAGACAAATTATATATTATAGAGACTGGATTTAAGAACCAAAATTTCTGAGGACAAGAAATTTTATTTTCTTCCCTGCTTATATAGTTAAAAGGTTTTCAAGATGGTCATATTGTGAGAAGAAAAGGAAAGGTTTAACATTTTTACCCATTTTCTTACTCAATTCCCTGGTATTTTTCTGCAGGGTAACTGCATGAAGATTTTCATTGTTTTTCTCAAATTACTTTCAATTTCTGTAGTAAATCCACAAGCCAAGGATGGTGTAAACAACACAAGGTTCCTCTTATTGAATTATAAAGTACAAAAGATAGTAAATAACTTCACCTTAACAAGTCTTTCGTACCAACACCTAAGCGGATTTGTTACATGTTCTATTTATAAATGTTATACGAGAGACCCTACTTAAACAACAACAAATCATATTTCACATTATTTCTACATAGTTGATTGGCCATTCTCGTTTCTTACTAGTTACTTTAGTATACTAAGTGTCACTCTTTATAATTGGCTTAGCTAACAGGTATTATTACGTGCCTACATCTATCCTCGATACATAGAAATGGCATCCTCATGCCAGAAGATTTTTGCTTTGTGAGGCTGCATGTTTATTGTCACAAATGGGGCATTTTGAATGAAATGTAATAAGAGAAATCACTGGCTTGAGAAATTGATATGAGGCTGTTAATTGTTACTTCAGAAATTGACACGAACTTCCAATAATATAGACAGCTTTGTAACTTCAGAAGAATCATTAAATTTTGATGCTAGAACTATACAGATATTCATGTTCCAGATATAATCAAGTTCCTTTAACATTTTAACTTACAATTTCAGAGAGGTTTTAATTTTGTCACCTTATTTTTTAAATTTTTTCAGTGTAGTTAAGGCAACGTTTGTAGAACTTTGATCACTTTCTTCTTGTAGCACTAACTGTATTTAATAATAAAAATTTCTTCCCTAGTATAATTTATCAACACTAATTGATGCGGTTTAAATGTTTTGGTTCACGCAGTTAATATTGCCATAAGAAGCATAAGAAATGCAGTTTAATTCAAACATCGAAAAAATTTCTAAAATTGTTAAAAATACCTTTCATGCTAACTGAAACTAGTAGTACGATCACAAAACTTACCAGTCTCATTGAGTTTGAGCAGAAGCTGTTCCCTTGTTGGAAGAGCATGCATTCCAGCAGAAACAGCTGTCCTGACTGCCCATGTATGGTATGGTGCACAAACTTGTGCATATGCAGTAGAAGCCGCATCTTTTAACGTGCAGAAGCTAACAGAGACAAAGAAATACGAGAATCCATCACCAGGTCATACACATTTTCAGTTGGTAAGTGCAGGCAAAACTTTCATAGGTATAAAACAAGGGAGATGTCTAAAGGGGTAGAAGAGTGAACATACTCTTCAGATAGAAAGTTTAGGAATAAAGCTCTAATGAGGTCAAGACCCTGCCTAATTCTGCGTAAATTACGTGAAAGGCTTCCTGGAGTTCTAACTGTGTCATTAGCAACATCAGTATTGAGAAGATTGCTTAAAGTGCCATATCCGGTCGATGCTTCTGAAAGATCACGTACCTGAAAGTGTTAATCAAAGCATCAGATCACTTGCAAACACGGAAAAAAAATAAAATAAAACAAACAAACAAAGTGCTGAAATTCCCATAAGAATTTGCATTGCTTTCAAAGCCTTCAATTTTTACCACAAAAATAAAAATGCGTTAAATAGAAACACGAGAAACCCCCTACGAATCTCCTTTTCCGCTGTTCGACAGCCACCAAAGGGAGGGAATCTGACCTTGGAACAATATTCCAACTCGGCGAATTTGAAGGCGATGCCGAGGCAGCCGAAGAGGACGGAGACAAGAGAGCAGGCCTCGCAGAAGGGCGTCAACTGAAGGTCGTTGGACGCGCTAGTGCAATACTTCACCGATTTGGAGAGTTGCTCGAACGCATCAGCGATTCCGGAGAGAGCCGTTCCCTCTGTCGCGTCTTCGAAGGCAGCGTCTTCCTCATCCATGGCGGTTATTGTCCTTCACAATTAACACAAAATACATGTTCGCATCTAAGAATTGCTAAAGGAAGAAGAAGAAGACAGAGAGACAAAGAGACTCACTTTTGTTCGCAAACTCTTCGTATTCTGTTGAATAGCGAATGAAAGGCCATAGTTTTCGGACGGCTTTGCCGAGATCGCGGTCTTCCAGACGGAATCAACAGAGAGAGAGAGAGAGAGAGAGAGAGAGAGAGAGAGATGCGGGGTTGATTTATGGGAAGTTTCTGTAAAATTCCGTTGAAGGTCTCCGTTGGCGCCACACGGCAAACACTTCTCTAGAAGGAAGGAAGATGAACTTCCATGTTCCGGTTCCAAGATTTTTGTTTATTCATTTCTTTGTCAAGGCTTTGCTGGCAGTTGACATCGGCAACAAGTGTAAAGCAATAAGAAAATCAACCCAAAAAAAAAAAAGGAGAAAAAAAACAAGTAAAATTTTTTAGGGATATATTAAAATTTCAAATTCATTTGCTTTGTTATTTGAAAAGATAAAATGTCAGAAAACAACATTAGGAATAAAAATAATAATTCATGGACGACCGAATAGAATCGTCAAGATATTGAACATAAAAGTAATCCTGCAAGACATCACCTTTTTGACAACCTTGCAAGAGATATTTTCTCGGAAAAGTTCCATTAAGATTCGTTCAGAGATGGGAATGCACCAAACTTATGTTGTTAATTTAACCGCCGTTTAATCTGTCAGAAGGCTATATTTTTTTGAGAGCTTTTTTCTTAAAAAATTTAGATAGATAAATGGCTTTAATTTTATTTTTTGCAGTTGATTTATTACATATTAAGGTAAACAAAATTGACTTGACTTGTCAGAAAAGGTGATTAGTTGTACTTGGTCAATCATTAACCGGCTGCAGAGGAATGAACATAGAGAGAATAGTCGGTACAGGCTTACCCCAACCGCCAAGTACATATGACTCTAATGGGTCGAGCCCAACCCAATCAAGCCCATCAATGGTCCCAAATCCCAATCTAGCCCATCAATGGATGAAATGCAACTAAGACTCAGATTAAATTTTAATTTTAAACGAATCTGAATTTAATTTAAATTTTATAATTTAAATTTAATTAAAATATTTAATATATTAGTTCTAAATATGAATATTTATAATTTAAGATAAATAAATCTGAATTCAATTTAAATTTTATAATCTAAATTTAATTAAAATATTTAATATATTGGTTCTAAATATGAATATTTATAATTCAAGATAAATAGATCAGATATGAAATTATACAATTTGATTTATTAAACATTTGAATACAAATTTTAATAATATTTTTTATTAAATTAATAATCATATATATAATATTAATAAATTTAAAGTTATAGGAATTAAATTGAAAAAATTAAAAAAATTTAAGGATTAATATGATAGATATAATATAGTTAAGGAATTTAAGTATAAAAAAATATTATTTTCTTATCAAATCGAATTTTTTATCGGATTTTAGATTATTTATCGGATTTAAATATAATTTAATAGATATAAATCTTGTAAAATTTTGAATTAGATTCAGATATAAAAATGGTTAATCGAATTTGTATGTTTTTGATTTGATCTAAATTTAATCCATTTACACCCTTAGATGAAACAAAGAAGAAAGTGAAAAACACTTGCACTATGTACAAGTATAAAGGTAGGTAAGAACTCATGGTGATGGTGAAAGTACTGACAATGGTGACCATGAATCTTTGATGAATGGTCAAGACCTCGAAGACGTAATATGTGACCCTGACGATAGTAGTTTTAGCTAGCAAGGTTCAAATTGTTCATCTTCCCTTTAATTAACTAATTGGAAGATCCGGTGCCATGGCATGCTTGAGTTAAAAGGTGAAAGTGACGCCTTATATATGGTCATGGTGGGTGAAAGATGGGTGGTGGATCAACTCTCCTTTTACTCCTTCCTTTCTCTTAATAGGTGTTCTTAGTATGGTTGTCTAGTGGTGGCAAAATGACAACGGTGGTGGAGATTTTGGTGATGGTGTGTGTTTTTATCTTACCCCTTTCATCTAGGCATTTATATGGCTACATTACAGAGTCACAGTCACTATTGGTGGTGGATATTTACGGGGTTGGAAAATGCTACAGGATTTCAGTAATTGTTAATTGCGGTAGAGTGGTGTATATTGAATAACTTAATAAAATCTGTGGATGAAGTTGCAACAGGTACAAAATAAGGGTATTTATAATAATTTCTCACATCTGAGCGGTGCTGTATGTAATATTAATAAACCTTAAGGATTGTGTAATTTACTCATTTTATTTTACAGTTTTGCATTAGAAATTTTGAGGATGCAAGTGTAAAGAACATGCCATCATACTGCTGTCACGAACAAGGGTACTTAAAATAGATACACAAATCTTAGGGGTACCACGACTAACATTAATGAAATTTGGGGTCGTCATTTTTCTTGATAAAAGTTCAACCTAATGACCTTATGTTCCCAACTAGTTTGCATTATATGCGACTCAATTGGGCTCAGGGATAGAACCAAACTCATCATCAATTGCTCTCATACATGATGACAACGTGGACAATTTTTAGAAAGAGACAAAGCCAACTTTGCAGTTACCATAGTGGAATGGAGATTCACAGAAACAAAAACCAACGAGGGACTTCATCCTCTCATTACTTAGAACACACAATTTCTTCTCATTGATCCTTAGAAACTTTGTTACTAAAAACAAAGCCAGACTACGAACAGAGAGAAGTTTAAGGTTATCCGAATCTAATGTTACTACTAAACCTACATTAAACTTGGCTAACAAGCTCGACCCCACCTTTCACAGAGTCTCCATTTTCCTTGGCTTGGATCTGAATTGGCTTGAAAGTATAAAATTTTGCGCAAGTTGAGTAATACAACAGGTTGATGATCTGAAGTAAGGTGATCAACCAGTAGAAGTACTCTAACTTTCCCTTGTTTAAATTATCATCCGGAAGCCAGTTTGATCCTCCTGGACCTTGGCTGAACCTATGCACTAGGGAAACGAGGAAAGTGCTCACATAATTCCCCAAGGAAATGGCGGTCCAGAATAAGGCCATGCCTGTGCTCCTCATGCTCTCTGGCGCCTGGTCGTAGAAGAACTCGAGATGTCCAATGGACATGAAGGCCTCAGCCATGCCATGCAGGCAATACTGGGGGACAAGCCAGAACACTGAGATAGGGATGGTGGCTTGGGGCTTGTTAATCAAGCCATAGGTTGATGCTACCTGTTTTCTCTTCAGTTCGATGAAGCCTGAATTACGGGTGGAAAAATTTGAGATTGGATGTCTTAAAATCACATATGCACGCACGCACGCACGCACGCACAATAGGTGGTAAAATATTGAAACTTAGTTGAGTGTCGCTATTTGATTTGGTAATACCTGCAACTAGGGTGGCTAATATGGAGATGACGAAGCCAATGCCCATACGTTGGAGGAAGCTAATGCCTCGGTCAAGGCCGGTGAACCTCCGCATGATAGGAATGAAAACGCGGTCGTAGAAGGCGATGGTGATGAGCATGGAGGTCATGGTGAAGAGGGTCATGGAGCCAGCAGGGATCTGGAAAGAGCTGGTGAGGTGTCTGTCCATGGTTTTGGCTTGCTGGAGGGAGAAGGTGTTTTGCTGAGCAGAGGCTGTGACGAGGATGATCCCTGCGGCCCATATTGGGCCCATTCTGATCACTGATTTGAGCTCTTCTACCCGATGGACGGTGTTCAGCCTCCATAAATTGGGCGATTTGAGGTTGTCTCCTTCAGTTACAATAGCTGCCTTGTCCAAAAATCTGCGTGGCCACGGGAGTATTTGACATAAAAATTAAGTTTTAGATCATCCACAGGCACAAATGGAAGAAATAATTACCCAGAAGTGATTGCTCTGAAAATAATTATCTAGGAAGTTGGGACCAATCTGCAACTGGACTAACAAATGTAAAATGTGGGTTGGGGAACAGCCTTGGGCAGATAGTTCAATCAGCCCACTGGCCTACCAGAACTTATTAGACAATTAATACGTCGCCATGGATTCACCTTTTTTTTGTGGGGGTTTTCTTTTTGTTTACTGCAATTTTGAGTTGTCAATTTTTACTATTTGTCTAAATATTTTAAATAATTAATCCCACTTTAAATTTAAATTAAAAATTTTTGCTAAGGCCCCAATGGGGTGATTAAAAAATATATTTACAGTAATAATATGGATTACATAGGAGAGATTATTTATTAATGAAAAAGACCTATATCCAACAGGAATCTTCCTCTTTCCCCTTCCCACTTGGTTTGAGACTTTTTCTTTTCTTATAATATGGAAGAAAAGGACATGTTTGAAATAATTATTTTTTGTCTGTACTGATTGAATGTCTCTGTAATAAAGTTTATCAGTATATCTATCTCATGTTGGAACGTGCACACAATTTAAATATATAAGATTTTAAATTATACTTTGGACTATCCAACTTTGGATTCTCATTTCCTTTCAGTTTTTCCTATTATTTTCTTTCAGAATGCCTTGAAATGGAATCCTCAGTTAAGAAAACGCCATCCCTTATAAAATTCACCATCCTTTTTTCAATTGTGAATGATTCCACCGTCTCAATTTTTCTCAACTCTCAAATTTAGGTCATAAAGTAAAAATTTTTCTCGCATATATATATTAATCATTATAAGTGATATTAAATAATTTCACCGTCTAAAATTAACTCATAAAGTGATTTTTTTTTACATATATATACTAATCAGCAATCATTTGCATAATTAAGGTGAAATGTATCAATAATCAAATCATGTAATAAAAAGAATAACTTTACGTGGATTAAGGATAATTCTATTTTGAAGTTTCTTTTATTTTTTTAAATTTTAATATTTTACTATTTATATTATAGTAAATTATCTACTTTTTAAAATATTTTATTAAATTAAATTTCAAATTCAAATAGCCATGTAGAGAGAGAGCGAGAGAGAGAGATACTTGAGATTCTTGGTGTGAAGAAGCTTTCCGGCAATGGAAATAGGAGCATCAAGCCCCTCGTTCTCATAGAGCAATTTGGGATCCGAGACCTGAGCCAGATGCCTCTTCCTAAAAGCGGCCACGCAGACTTGCAATATCCGGGTAAACGGGCTGCCAGCCGGATCCAGATTGCGGTACATCGGGTACCCGAGAACGAACGTGACAATAGAAAGAAACATGGCAATTGAGGGCACCCCAAGGCCCCATCCCCACCCAACATTGTCCTGGATGTAAACAATCACCGTCACGGCGACAAGCATGGATGCCCCCATACAAAAGTAGTACCAGTTGAAGAAGTTCCATGTCTTGGTCTTCTGCTTCGGGTCGGTCTCGTCGAACTGGTCCGCCCCGAATGCCACTACGCAAGGTCGGATCCCACCCGCGCCGAGCGCGGCTAGGAGGAGGGACGCGTAGAGGATGCTAAGCTGGCCGTTGTCGGCCTCTTGGCACGCTTGGTCGGCTTTACATGGGAGTGGCCTTAGCTGAGGTAGTACTGCCGACATGGTCAACAGTGTCATTCCCTAATCATAGAAGAAAAAGAAAAATAAAATTATTATAGGAAAATTTGCAATCACATGCAAATATTTGATTTTGACACGAAATCTTTACAGGAGTCCTAATTTTTTTAATTAATTAAGTGAAGGGTAAGTGTGAATTATTGCAAATGAGGACAACAAATCAGAGTATATTATTGAAAACAAAGTACTAACCCCCCAAGGTTAAAAATTAATGCGCACCCTGGGCACGTAACCTCTAGAAATTCAGATAATTATAAAAAGTTGTTTGACTTTATCTTCGTATTTAAGGGGGGCATCTGTAAGATAAGATTAAAATTCTGCGCATATTTGGTTTTGCCAGATCTTCGAGGGCACTTTCGAAATATAAAAATCTGGATTTTTCACTGCAAATTCCCGTAGTTTTTTCAACCGCAAAAATTTACATATTAAGCATCATTTTAGAAGTCTTATTTCTTTTAAGAAAATTAAACATTCTAACCACAGAATTTTAGCTTTTTTAACGAAAAAAATGTGAATTTTCAAAACGAAAAGTCCTGCACCAAGAGTGCGTTTGTTTCAACTTTGTTTGCAAAAAAAAAAAAACTTTTTTTTTTAAAAAAGTGCTTCTGAATATTTTAAAGTATTTTGAGAAATTTTGTAAATAGTACAATTAAAAAAAAATCAAATTTCTAATTATTTTGAAAGTTAGTATTTGAATAATTTCAAACAAATAGGAGATTGGTAGATGAGATAGAAGACTGTCTAGAAGGCACATAAGTTGATTTTATTTTTCTTTGGATAAATAACCCTATAATTCATAAAAGTAAAAAAAGTACTTTTCATAGTTGTATTTAAATGTAAAATAACTTTTAATTTTCAAGAACTTTTTATAAACAAATATTTATCTTAATAACACTTTTAAAAAAAAATATTTTATCCAAACTAACCCGAAACAATCCTACAATAATCCATTTCAGCAATTAAAAAAAATAGAAAAAACATTTAAGTGTGTGTGTGTGTGAAGAGAAAGAGGATGATTAACCATCTGATATATAATGGAGGCAATCGCTATGGTCCAGAACCGGCCGGCAACAGCGTCGGCGATGAAGGCCCCGAGAAGGGGAGTCAAGCTAGCGGTACCGCTGAAGTTGGTGAGAGTGTTGGCAGCTTTGGTTAATGGCATGTGAAGCTGCTGAGTTAAGTAGCTTATCATGTTGGTGAGAAAACCCAGCGCTGCTAGCTTCTCACACATCTCATTCGCTGCACTCAAAAACAAGAAGTCCCCAATTTAACAAAGAAAAATAAGAAGCAGAAGCAGGCTATAAAACCAGAAGCTATAGCTCAGCAAATAAGAAGAAGAAGAAGAAGAAGAAGAAGAAGAAGAAGCAGCAGCAGCAGTAGCCATAGCTTACCAAAAATGAAGGGCATGGTGATCAACCCTCCCTTCATCCTCTGTCTACTCATCTTCTCTTCCACTTCCATCTTCTCTGCACTTTTCTTCATTCTCAACTTTAATATATATAGTTGTACGGAGGTAGAAACAGAAAATTGACTATGGCTAGCTGGTAATTTGACTCTCATCTTCTGAGACATTATTTGTGACCACCAACTACTGAATAAGACCCTTGCCGGGGCAAAAAAAAAGTTGGGACTTTATTTTATTTTGTTAATACGGGAAATATAAATAATTCAGTAGGTTTGGGTCACATCCGTACCAGCAGGTATATGCAAAACAACCTATTTCTGTAAAAAAAAAAAATTAATTTCGTGCATCTTTTAACTTATATATGGACCCACAAATATAATGGAGCACGTAGAAATAATCTGATACTGTAAAATAATTGTCAAATTTACCTTCATTAGTTAGCTCTTTTTAAATTGTAATATACCGTATAAGAAACTAATTTTGGTATGTATTAGTTTAAAAAATTACTTTTTATGATTTCCACTTTGGTTTTAAATACTTGTACTATAGAAGCGTGTCCGTTTTAGAACTTCTAGGAAGTGCTGCATGCTCTTCAAAAGCTCTCTGCTTGCTGAGGGAGAAGTTTGTACTAAAACAATAAAGTGCCCGCCAAACAACCCCTATTAATTTTATTTTATTTTATTTTATTTTTTGAGACAGAGCTTCACGTGATGGTTTATAGTTTTTATATCGATGAGGTCCACCCACATTTCAGTACCAAAATCTATAATCTAGGAGAGTGATGACCACCCTATCAATTGAATTATTAGTGGGATATGACACCTAGCCCATTGGTAGATTTTACTTGATAAAAATTAAAATTCCGTAATTTTTTTATCAAAATATTTTTTAGAAAGCACCAAGTTAGATATAATTTGGCGTTCTATTCCACATAAACTTTTTAAAATTAATATAATATAACATATAAAAAATTTAAAATTATTATTGAATAATTTAAATTTAAATATTTTAAATTAGTAGTTCAAATTTAATAAATTGATAAAATCAACAGCTCTTGAATCGTTGCATATAAATAATAATTTAAACTATTTAATTTAGACCTAAAAATATGAAGCTTAAAAATTAAATTACATTTAAACCCTTGGCATTTTCTTTTTGGTATTTGATACTGGCTAATTAAACTAAACAATGCTGCTCAAGTCAGTCAAGCATTTTTCTTTTTGGAAAATTCCAAATCCCAATTATTTTGATACAAATTTGTTTACAGAAGAAAAGGAAATGGCATCTTTTGTACATATAGCTTATGAAGATCTTTTTTTTGTTTTTTTTTTTTTTGAAAACAAGATAAATTCGTTCATCGAACAAGGACAAAACCCTTAAGGATATTTTGAAGACAGAACTTGAAAAGAACAAAAAAACCAGAAACTGAGGGCCCAACTAAACTTTGAGTTCCAGCTATGCAAACAAATATCCCAACCATACGATTGAGTTATGTTTTGTTTTTCTTTGGTTGGTGTTATGCTTGATTCTTCCACTCTTTTAATTGCACCAACTACTCTTGCTCCCTAAGACCAATTCTTCCTTTTCATACAACCTTTTTGACTTAAAATTGATGGAGACCAATATAAGTCAGCACATTCAATTAATGGATTTGGGGTTGCGTCAATGTTTCATGATTTCTTGGTTTTTCTAATCTCTCTCCGCCGGTGAGAGCACCCCCTCCCTCCGGTGCAAGCTTCTCCACTCCGCCAAGAGGATATGGATGTTAGGTGGTGTTTGTAAATGTTTTTAGAAAATTAAAAATTGAGATTTAAAGTAAAAATGGATACAAGTGAATTATAATAAAAGGGTGTATGTATTTATAAAATATGTTATAAAACATCTGAAAATAGTAAAGTTGACATTTGGGATATAATTTTTTTTTTAAATTTAGAAAAGAATATTTTAAACAGTTTTTTTAATTATAATAATGTTATTCATAATTAGAAGTATCACTCTCTCGTATTTTTAGAATTTGTTTTTAATTTTACTTTGTCTTACTCAAATAAGAGAAACAAAATATAAAAATAAGTTTTAAAACATTTTAAAAGTGATTATGTGTCATAGAAAACTCAAAATTACTTTTAAAATTCTCTCACAAACATCTCTTTAGTGCTTTAATTGATCCTACTTCACATAATTGGAAGGTGGACTTAATTAAGGAGTTGTTCTTCGGGGAAGATGCAAAAATGAACAGTGCCATTTTGATTACTCTCAACGGAGAGGCTGATAAACAAATATATGCCGCCTCATAAAGTCAGGGATGTTTCTAGTCAAAACGAAGTATCATGTGATTAGAGAGATTTTCTACGGATGGGGGGTAGCCCTACTACCTGCTCATTTTTTTAGAGTTTTTAAAAGAAGTTTGGAGATAGTTCCTAAGGAGGCTTTTAAGTGTTGCCGGTTTTAATTGTTCAGGAATTAACTCTTCTAAGAGTCAATGGGCTATGCGCGTCTCATCTGGGTTATCTAATCATGAACAGTATGTCTTCTAGACGTTAGCATGGGCATTATGGAGCAAATGTACACAGACTTAGGCCACTGCTGTTAGGTTTTATGTACAGATAAATTAAAATAGGTGATAAAATTATTTCATTCAAATAATAATTTAGCACTTTTATCTCTTATACCGTTCAATTTAAATTATGTAAAGATAAAATACTGGATAATTTCACAAATTAAATTTTTCCCCTTGTATCATAGTCACCATAGTTGTTGGAAGATGCTCTCTTTGTAACTGGCAAATTGGCGACTGTGGCATATGCAACCGCTTGGGAGAAGATCGGAACAATTTGCTAGTTCGTCTTCAAGTTAGAAGACTCACGATGTCATATTTCTACAGATGAGCTAGAAGCCCCAAGACAATTTGTAGGTGACCAATGACTGTGGCATCCACGATGATCTACAAGTTTATCTTTGAGCAGACGATCTACTTTTGCAGTTCGTCCTCGAGCAAATGAATTGTTGGCGACCCCAAGTTTGCAAGTGGAGGGACGAAATTGTTATTTGTAGACAAAATTGCCCGTGGCCGAATTTGTAGACGGCGAGACAATAACAACGACTTGGTGAACTTTGAACGGCAAAACTTTGCCAGTGATGAATCTACTGGTAGAGAAAGGAAGAAGAGAAAGAAAAGGGAGGAAGAAGTATATGTCATAATGTTTGGATAAAAAACATTTATCCTATTTAAGCTTGATAAAACTATCTCACATTTTTTCTTTGACAAAATATCTTAATTTAATAAAACAAAATAGAATAAAAGAACTGTTCAAAAATTCCAATATAGCTTATTTATAAAAATTATCAAATATGAGAGTAAAAAAAAATTAGACGGCATACTCATCGTGCCTTATTTCCCAAACCCAACCGTCTTGTACGATGACAAGTGGAGGTCTGCGATTGAATTTGTTTCTTAATTTTTATTGAACTTTCAAAACATGCACAAGAGGGATTACCGTTCCCTTCGTCCCCCATTCCGACAGTAAGTGAAGTTCGCCTCCCTCGGGAATGGTTAAGATAAACTTTGATGGCACTACTACTGGTTAAGAGGGTGCAGGTGCAGGAGTTGTTATTAGGAATGAGAAGTGAGTTGGTAGATGGTATAATCACAATAATTTTTGATGCAATGAAAATAAGAATATGGGAATGAAATTAAAATTTTTATAAGTATATTTTATATGTATTAATAGAATAGAATGAAAATTTTTATTTTATTATTATATTTAGTATATAAGAATAGAGGTAGGGAAGTCAAAAAAAAATATTCAAAGACAAAAATATCATTTGTTATAAAGATTTAAACATTTTTAAAAATTTAACTTTTAATATATTCTGAACATATTAAAAAATAAAAAAATTATTTTTTTATTCTAAAATTAAAATATTAAATTCATATATATGTGTGTTTGTACGATATATAATAAGTTATATATCTATATTATATAAATATATTAAATTACATAATTTATATAATATAATTATCATATTATACAATTTATTATATTATAATAGATATATATAACTTATAATATATTAATAATATTATTATAAATCTTTATACTTTTTTATATTTATAAGATATTTTTGTCATTTATTTATGTAGTAAAGGGTATCAAGATAATTATATATTTAAATAAGAATTTCACAAGGAAATGAAATCCAGATTCTCTCATTTGATGAAATCCTCGTTCCCTAGAAAATGAGAATTCTTATTTCAAAATACCTACTAAATGCACTTTTTAAAAATTATCATTCTTATTTTTATTCCGTTAGTAAGATTCTATCATACTATACATTACTTAAGATTTTCACGTCTTCAGCGGAGTGAAAGTGGGTGTTATCATTGTTTATAATTTATTTTATAATTTTATGGATAGCAAAAATTTTATAATAAATAAATAAATTTAAAATTTTTTTAATATGATATTGAAAAAGATATAATATATAAATGGATGATTCAAAAATAAGATATATACAAAAAAATCACTCTTTAGAAAGCACAATTAAGTGGAGTTTAAAATAATTTATCAAAAGTAATTTTAAATTATTCAATACACGTAATAGTGTTTGGAAATCTACTTCTAAATTTTACTTTTTTTGTTTAAATAAAAAAAACAAAATAAGAAGCAAACTCTAATAAAATTATTATAATTAAGTAAAATTTATTTTAGATATTTTTAAAATTTTTACTTAAATTTAAAATTATCTAATTAATATTTTTCAAAATTTTTTGAATTTAAAATTTTTTTTCTTTACTTAAAATAAATTACAAAAATTGTATTTCAAATACCTATTTTACTATTTTTAATATTTTTTTATATAATTTACAAATATATCATTTTTTTTTTTACTTTAAATTCCAATTTCTAACTTTACCATAGCATTTCCAGACACCCCCACCACTCCTGCACCTGTGAGTTGTTATTTTGCGAGCCAGCTAGTCAACTGCAGAGCATCCCATACATGCTGATTTTTGTTTGTATCTTCTTTAGCCCAAACAAAAGTAGTTCAACCTCTTTTTGACTATCAACCGAAATAATCAATCCTCTCTTTTTTTTTTTCAAAAGGTGTGCGCCGTTCATTCACTTTCATGTCGTTTCATTGGTTTAATTGTGAA